ACAACTTTCGGCTCGGATGTAAGGGGTGCATTCACAGTTATTGCTCTTGGGCCAAGTTATGTTGACTTCTTCCCAATAAACGTTACAGACACAACAATGATAAGTTAGTAAATTAATTTCTCTTTTTTGTTCACACCCTTTAGAATCACACATAAGCATCATCCTAACTATAATAATACCTGAATAACAATTGAAGCAGATTGTCAATGGGCATCGGAACATAGTTCTTAAATATTTTTAAATTGAAATACAGTTTAAATTTTCATTAGAACAAAAAGAGAGAAAAATTAATAACATACGAAAGAAGAAAATTCGACGCTGAGGGTTTTCAGTAAAGTTATCCATTTGAAATACGATAGAAATATGTGCTGACATTAACGTCTCGTCGAAATTCCTACACTGTAAATTTTTTTTTTGTGTTTCTACCTTTTAGAAAACCGACTTTATAGAAGCTAAAGCATTTTCGAATTTTTAATATTCATTGGCCGAATTTTAAATATTCAGAAAATGTTTGATTTTCTAAATTATAGAAATTCAATTTGATTTTCAGAAAAATTCTTTTTCAAAAGAATTGAAAGATCAACAGTGACTTCTTAAAATGTTTGAAATTCAATTGCAATTTTATAGAAAATCAAGGTGAACTCTACAAAAGTAAAAAATCAGCGCCACGTTCTAGAAAATCATTTGGATTATGACCTTTATAAAGTCATTGTTCATTTTTGTATATAAGTTATAGTCGGCAGTGTAGTGCATTCATTATTTTCTGTGCCAGCTCTAGCGAGCAGATCAACTATATCTTTTCGAATCGACATGAGTCAGTCCATTTTACATGAACAAACACATAATATATCCTTTTATTTCTTATTCACGAAAAGAATATTGCAAATAAAAACGTTTCTCACCACACAATAGATATTTATAATCATTTATTTTTGTGGAATTATACATGAACTCTGATATTATATTATTGCATTTAACATCGAGTATCGTATTTCAAGTCATTTTTTCCTGATGAAAATATTTACACGATTAGACATTTTTCTTAGAAAATTTTCCTCTTTTAATGGAATCCTAAAATTTTAGTTTATATCATTAATTTTTATCTATCATCAGTTTAGAATCATAGATCAGATTGTTGAAGACAATAGCTAGTTGTTTCTCTTGAGAATAAAATCTTATTATATTCTCTATACATTTGAAATTGAAGATGAAAATTGAATTTCCAATTTCTAGAAAATGCTCTAATTACTAAATAAAATGCGAATTTCAAGAAAAGCCCATACGAATTGACATTCGATTTTCTAGCTAGAAAATCGAATTTGTTTTTCAATCTTATTGAATACCGTATTTTCCAGAAAGTAGAAATTTGTCATTGAATTCGTATGGACTTTCCAAGAATATCCTTCATTATAGTCTATAATGTATTTTCTAGTTTACAGTGTAGTTTACCGTGAGAAATCTCATAAATACCAAAATGTTCAGAAACTATTTGACAGCCAGATTATCGTACTATCTCGGACTAAACACGGAAATAGGGAGCAAACAGTATGTCAGTGAGAATAGTATCCTGTATGCATACTGATAAATTGCCTATTAATACATAAATTGACCCTAAATATGAGTGTCTAAAAAGTAGACCAACATATTTACCTGTATATTACATCATTATTTACTCAAACGAATTTCTAGTGCCGTTGGGAAATGAGACAACGTCTGAAGGATCAGTAGAATTCGAGCAATCAACAGACTATCCAGATATGACACAATTTCCTGATATGACACAATATCCGGATTGGGAAATAACAGGATTTCCAGAAAATTCGGTAATCTCTAATTATTCAAGTGCTTTAACATTAAGTAGCGAACGCTACCCGAACCAAAACAAATACTATGAAGCGATAGAAATCATTGTTAACACCACAGGCACTTACAGTTTCAGAAGTTCAAGTCAAATAGACACTATGGGTTACCTGTACGCTGGTGAATTTAATCCATCGAATCAAAATCTGAACTTGCTAACACAAAATGATGATTATTCTACTAGTAATCAGTTCAGACTGATAGCTTATTTAGAGGCTGGTGTTACATATACATTAGTTGTTACAACTTTCGGCTCGGATGTAAGGGGTGCATTCACAGTTATTGCTCTTGGGCCAAGTTATGTTGACTTCTTCCCAATAAACGTTACAGACACAACAATGATAAGTTAGTAAATTAATTTCTGTTTTCTGTTCACACCCTTTAGAATCGCACATAAGCATCATCCTAACTATAATAATACTTGCATAACAATAATAACAGATTATCAATGGGCATCGGAACATAGCTTTAAAATTTTAAATTGGAATACAGTTTAAGTTTTGATTAGAACAAAAAGAGAGAAAAATTAATAGCATACGAAAGAAGAAAATTGGACATTGAGCGTTTTTAGTAAAGCTCTATAAATATCACAGTGTTTTGGGACTATTTGATAGGTACATTATCGAAATATGTCAGGCTAAACACGGTAAATAAACTATTAAATAGTGTGCCATAAAGGAAATGACTCACCCAGTAGAATGGTAAACTGCTTCTGAATTTAATAATAGATACTAAATGAGTGTCTGAAAAAGAAAAAAGGGCTTGTCAAACGTAGATCAGATCATTATTTCCTGTTTCACATTTCTAGTGCCGTCTGTAACTGAGACAACGTCTGAAGGATCAGTAGAATTCGAGCAATCAACAGACTATCCAGAGAATACACAATATCCAGATTGGGAAATAACAGGATTTCCAGAAAATTCGATTCTCTCTTATTATTCAAGTGCTTTAACATTAAGTAGCGAACGGTACTCGAACCAAAACAAATACTATGAAGCGATAGAAGTCATCGTTTACATCACAGGCAGTTACAGTTTCACTAGTACAAGTAATATGGACACTTTTGGCTATCTGTACACCGGTCAATTTAATCCATCGAATCAAAATCTAAACATGCTAACATACAATGATGATTCTGGTAGTAATCAGTTCAGACTGATAGCTGATTTAGAGGCTGGTGTTACATATACATTAGTTGTTACAACTTTCGGCTCGGATGTAAGGGGCGCATTCACAGTTATTGCTCGTGGACCAACTTATGTTAACTTCTTACCAAGAAACGTTGCAGACACAACAATGATAAGTAAGTGAATCATTATCTTATTCTAAATACACATGTCTCAATGTCAAGCATGAAGTGCGTCGTTATTATGATAAGACGTGAATCACAAAAATTACACATTTTTCAATGGGCACCCGAAAATAGGTTCAAATGTTAACATGAGAGTATATTTTAAGTTTTTATGAGAGCAGAGAGCGAGGAAAGTACGTGATTTTGTAAACAGTTCCGTGAAGATTGATTAGAAATAGTTGATGATAATATCCAAAAGGAGAAAATCGGATGGTAAAATTTTTCGGTGAAATTGTGAATTCAGAATCATGATAGAAAGATGTGTTGCCATTACCATCCATGCAGAGTTGGTAGTCCGTCGTAATAAAGAAGTTTCATAAAAATCAAAATGTAGAATAAGCATTATTGTATAACAGAATGAAGTTGTATATCCGTAATGATAAAATGTTTTAAAATATAGACAAAAACGGTGAATAGGTACTTCAGAAGAAGAAAATGTATTTTATGAGTAGACTGGATCATTATTTTATGTTTCACATTTCTAGTGTCATCTGAAACAACAACAATAGCAACAAGTACTGAAGCCATAGTAGAATTCGAGCAATCAACCGAATATCCAAATTGGGAAATTACTGGATTTCCGGAAGGTTCTATTTCTACCAGTTATTCAGGTGCTTTAACGCTCAATAGTGAACGCAATCCCAACTCAGGGAAATACTATAAGGAGATCTCGGTCATTATTTATACCACAGGCGTTTACAGTTTCACAAGTTCAAGTAGTATGGACACGTTTGGCTATCTATTCACAGGCATCTTTTATCCATCTGATCCTAGTCTCAACTTGATAACATCCAATGACGATTATCCTGGTAGTGATCAGTTTAGATTGATCGCTTATTTAGAGGCTGGTGTTTCATATAAACTGGTCGTTACAACGTTTCCTATTGATACTACCGGACCATTTTCAATTACTACACTTGGTCCAGATCGTGTTAGTTTTTTACCATAAACAATGAATTAATAACATACAGTAAACGTAAAGAGAAAATATCCAACATGTTTTTGAATTTCAAGTGAAAAAATCGACCCAAAATTGTTTTTTCTATTGAATATTCCAGTCTGTTTATGAATTTTTTTGTTTCATTCGGAAAACATTCTTGGGTAAGAACATTTTAATAAACATGATTATGGCTAATTATATAGTTTTAATTAGAATAAGGATCAGTCAATATACTCCCAAATGCATAATAAGATAACATGTAATCGTGATTCTTTACATTATTTGTTCAAGGAAAAAAGGCTTTCTCTATATCGATTGCTAAAGAAATCTATTATATGCTTGTTGGGAAGTAAGCTCATTCAGGCGGTAGTTTTTCGAAGCATTTTCTTGAAAATGCGAGCTCTACTTAGTGGAGCTAGTTTCTGCTGGTATCAGATTATCTTATTGGTTGCTCATAAGCATGTTGATTAGAAGAGTGGGAGATTTATTTCAATTTTTCCGTTACTACGAAATATGGGTTTCTGTGAATAGTACCAAATAATATTAACCATTTAGAAATATAAATTAACAAAATATTAAGTAGTATATGCTAAAAAGCAACCATGTAATCAAAATGAAATGCTAAAGTGCGATGCTGAGATATTTTTCCAAGAAATATTCATAATTTATTTGTTGAGCCCAAGATACCTAGAATGGCACTGTTTAAAGGGAATCAAAGCGGAGTTTTGGCGATTTGCTATGAAGCCATTTGATAAATAGATAGGAACTAGCTCGTTAGCTTGACAGGATGTAATAGGAAGAAGTTCATCCTCATGTCACAGATCTATTGTACAATCAATTGAGCAAGTAAATACGAATTAACAGAAAGTATAACTACTTGCAAAATATGGATACGAACAAACGTATCATTGCACGAGGCAAGCATGATTTCAAAAAAAAAGAAAAAAACCAAACATTTAGGTCCAATTGAGTTACAACGTATGTAATCAATTACAGCGAAAATGAGTATTGATATAAAATCTTGTTCGTCTGCCAACATCATTGTGAGTGTAGGAGAGTTTTTTTTATATTTTTCTAATTCTTGTCTTTGTCCTTGAAAATCTTTCACGACATATTTCTCGGCTTCTTGTCGTAACCATAATTTACTTGCGTGGTATTTCATTATTTTTCTTAAAATGATTACACTAAGAACAATTCCAACGAAAAATCCAATTACAGCACATATCGTTACAATAGCTACTGCGCTAGCAAACAATCCGTCTGCGCCACTACTTTGATTATGACTGATTCTGCTAGATCTTCTGCGATTCATCAACGTTGTACTCACACAATAAAAGATAATTAAAGATAAAAATCCCACAATGCCCAATAATAATATGGAACCACTCAGGTAGTAAACTGTGAATTCACTTGTGGAGTCTGAATAGAGACTTTTGATGATCTCATCATTTTTGTTGATAGCCCTTATCAGAAAACCTAAAGTAATAGCCACTAATTGAATCACAAGAATAAATACTATTGCATCACGAATAACAACGAAATTATATTTCAAGAGCCTTTTTCTTTCAGTTTTGGGATCATTTTGAATAGTTTCAATGATGTATTCAAATTGACAGATGCCACAAAACTTGAAACATTTCCCACGTGAATTTTCTGAACGTCAATCGTTTAAAAAATTTGTGTGAACATACGCAGAGCTACCACTACATAAACATGGACTAATTAAATCATTAGAATTGCCGCTATCCCAACATATTCGGCATGTTTTCAATTGATCTTTTAACAGTAGTACTTCATCTTTCTCTGTGAAAGACATGATTGAATTTTACGGAAATACTAAAATTAAACAAAAACACTATTAGCAAAGAAAGCAGTTTTTTAGTCTAACATTAATTTTTCCATAATTAAAATCAACTGATGTGTTTTTCGTTTGTTTCTGAAATAACATCCACAGCAGTGTCCAAGTTCCCAGAAGTCGAGAATTCGTTGGGAACTGGGAACTCAAAAATGAATGAACATGAATAAGTGATGATAAACCAAAGCATAGCAACGTTATGAGGGATTCCAAGAAACTTAGGGACTCCAACGAACTCAAGGAAGTCATGGAAGTCTGGGAAACCAAGGAACTTTGGGAAGTCAGTGAGGTCACAAATATGAGGGAAATAAGAGCCTGGACTCAATTCGTTCGGGTTGGACCATCAGTATATCGAGTACTATACTTAATTGGCATGATATCTAATCGGAATAATGGACATAATTGAGTGAGGGCATATCCATTGACATAATAGATATATGAGGTCACAGTGGTAAAATGCGCCAATTGTCTGTTCGCTTAAGAATGAGTTGCGATATTTTAGAGTGATTGTTTATTATGCTTTGATAAATTTATACGTTGAATAAAAGTGGAATTTGGGAGCTTCGGATCGTTCGGCTTCGGTGATAGTGGGATATAGGAGAATCATGATTGATGGTATCATTCAGTTTTCAAGTGACGAAGATATTCTATCTGTGAAATGTTTCTAGGTGCTTATATGGGTAGATAAATAGGTAAATCAGGTTATATATCTATCCAGACAGCAATTGGTAGCGGACAGTATCTAAATATATATATATCTGTTTGTGTAGCTATTCCTCTAATGGTGTTGCAGCTGTTGATAATATTCACATTTACAGAGGAACACACAAGTCTAGTTATGACAGTCGGTGTCGCGACAGGACTGGCAGTCTCAGCGGGATTTATAATAGAACGAATTGACAGTGACGTTCAATTTGCCGTATTTAAGTCTAGTACCCATGTACTTGAGGCAAAATGAATTTGGTGGAAACTTGTGAAACCTATTGAATCGGTTGGCGATAATCAGAGAAAAGGCGTGATGAATCTCTTGTAGTGGAAAGTTGTTAAGTATGTGGGAAATGATGTTATTATTACTGTGTCAAAGATATGGTTGTTCTATAACACACGAAGTTGAGTGTCGGTGGATCAGTTAGAATAGCAACACTCACACCGATCCCTCACCCACACCCACACCCTCAAGAAAAAGAGATGAACGCTCAACATCGCTCTCGCTGCGGCGCCTGCCATAAAAGCATGAATTTCAACCTTCAAAGTAACGAAAGCCGTAATGTTGTGAACGAACGTCCCGTAGCGAAAGTTTTAATCTTCTAGACCACATCACATCTCTTAACTTGTGCAAAGCATACGAAATTCTTGTACGATCACTTACCTGATAAAGCGTGCTTCATGCAATCAGAATTTCATTGATAGCGTTCGTGAAAGAACACAATGCATTTTCACACGTGAATCTTTCTTTTAGAGGAAAATTTTTTTATTTCGCATGCTTTCAGCTCAAAATTGATCCTATCGATCGATCAGAAAACCGTTGCTTTCCCAGAGTTCCTTGGTTACCCTGACTTCCCTGAGATGCTTCACGTGTTGTGGCTTCACATCGCTCGTTGTCGCTTATTTATTTTTGAGTTCCCAATTCCAGAAGAGTTCCCGACTTCTGGGAACTTGGCCACGTCTCACGTATGGGATCCTCTATTCATCATTGTTTGGATGATTGCAGATACTATTGCTAAACACTATTGAAAATCACGAATAATGTTTTTTTTAGTTCAGTCACTTATTTACTTTATCGAAAAAAAGTCCTTGTTAGTTTTGACACTGTATGTTCTTGATATACTTAACTGTAATTTATTCAGTCTTCTATTCTTTCGTTTAAATCTATGAAGTTAGATTTATATGATACTAACTTAAGTATAATTGAACTTCGAATATCGCAGAAATAAAGTAAAATTCAAGAAAAAGATTAACTTACTGTGAATTTAAAGTCGATTGCAATTTGTTCTAGGCGATGATTATATGCTGTTCATTGTACAAAGAATCGGGGTGTGCTTTATATATTTTATATATTCATTTCTTATCAAAACATGTTTACTCATCAGAACCCACATTGCATATGCTATGCACATTAGTTACGATCACGATAAATCCATCGTGCAAATTATTGATGGAATGAGTGACCAATCATGCGTTTCCAAAACGTAGAGAATTTCGACTAGATTTAAAGCAGATTGTCAGAGCGAACTATTACTATTGACACAAGAAAGTTAATGAAATTTGAATTGTACATTTAAAATAATTTCAAATACCTAGAAAACTCGATCCTCCGCCTCATGTATTACTGTTCTGTACAAGTTTCTAGGCAAAACTCTTTCTTTTCAGTATTGCGAAGATCGTCGTATGTTGACAATACATAGACATATACTTGCTCGACAATATAGCCAATATTCATCAATGCGACATTTTCAAAATTCAATTGCAATGAACAGATGGATGAGGTGATAAAAATCACGCGTCCTTATAAGAACGGAAACTTTTACTTATTCTTCTACTCGGAAAATAATAATAATAATAATAATAAATGGCATATAAAACTTAAAGCACAAGTTTCCTATTATTATTAATTATTTTTTAAATCTTTTAGGTATATAAAGAAAGCTTCGATTTAATTATACAACTGGTTCTGAATTGATATCAATTTTTGTTCTCACGAGGGAAGCCCACCAAGTGTTCAATCGCTTTTGCGTTGAAACTGCTTACAATATGTAGTTTTCAAGGAGTTATGAATACGCTGAAAATATTTTGGGCGGATAGCTTACTGTTACGAAAAAAGGCCATTTTTATGGCATTCTTTTATGATTGTCGTACTCCCCCTCAGGAACATTAGAAAAATTGATTTTCGAAGTTTGATTTGAAATTTTATATAGCAATAGGCCTCAACGAGAATAGTGTTTTATGAATGTTTTTGGTCATTGAATTTGTTTTTCTCATATAATCTGCCACTTTACTTGAAAGATGTAAAATAAAAATTTCACAATACCTGTGTCTAGTGATAGGAAACGTAGAAAGATCTGAAACGTTCACAAAAAAGTTGTTTTCCTTAGGGCGTCTTTCTATGTAAGTTTCAAGTTGAAATTCGAAAATCAATTTTTTTATAATGTTCCTGAGGGGGGGAGGCTCTCACTAAAACCCATACTTTAGAAATGATCTGTTTTCGTAACAATAAGCTATCCCCCCAAAATATTTTCAGCGTATTCATAACTCCTTGGAAGTTTCATAATGTAAGTAGTTTCAACGCAAAAGCGATTGAACACTTGGCGACCTTCCCTCGTCAGTACATATAGATGCTTCTATGGTAGTTGACTATTGAGATACATGATTGCCATTTCTATCGCCTGAGTTTCGCTTCAATAGATTATTGCTGTTTATAAAATTTATAGATCATAGAAAAAAAACAAGGTAATTTCTAGATTCATTTATCAGCTATTACCAACTGAAATCAACGTTTCTTCGCATGCCGATACGCAACTAGAACCGTATTTGTGTAACCATTTCAATTCTTCTCGAATTTTGATTTTCCCATGCCATGGATTTATACCAATATCATGACCTTCATTCGGGAAGATGATCAACTTGTGCGGAATATCAAGTGAACGAAGTGCTCGCTCTAATAGATAACTATGTGCAACTGGAACTCGAATATCATTGCCACCAGTAATAATATGTGTTGGTGTCCGAACTTTGTTCAATTGAAATATAGCAGCTTCTTCTTGATAGCGGCTAGGAATTTGCCATGGAAAACCACCTAAGAAGTAAAAATTACTCAATGGCATATCGTTGGTGCCCCAATCAACCACATTTTCTACTCCACCAGCACCAGTAATAGCAGCGTTAAAACGAGTTGTTTGTGTGATTAACCAATTTGTTAAATATCCACCGTAACTATAACCGTTAATGGCGAGTTTTTTAGGATCTGCAATTCCATCTTTTATTAATGCATCTACGCCAAATAGAATATCTTTGCCCGGTCGAGAAAGGAATTCATGTATAACATCATGCAGAAACTGATCGCCATAACCTATACAAAAAACAAATACGTGGTTGGCATACTAAAATTGAAAACTTAATTCAAGAAATTTTACAGACCTGTCGAACCTCGATAGTTAGGCTGCAATACAAGCCAACCCTCCGTGGCTAGCATCATAGCACAAGTATACCAGTCTGCACGAAAAGCGTTCAAACTTGCACTATAAGGTCCACCGTGAATAAGCACTAATAATGGCAAATTTTTCTGCTCAAATTTATCTGGTGGATAGAGTAGAACACCTTCGATTTCAGTACCATCTTCTTCATTCATCCATTGATACGATTTACCCTTCGGTAGATTTCTTTTCGTAAATATTATATTTTCATTTGTTACTATGTTAGCAATGCTAAGATGCTCAATAACATCAACGAAATACACCTCTTGTGGTGTATCAAATGATGAGTGAATAAAAGCAATCATAGATATGTTATTTGTAGAACTAGTGACCAGCTTTTCATAGCTCCCATTCCATCCTATTTGTTTTATCAATGGGCTGGTTGGTGACAATTGAGTGTAAATTTGAATCTCGGTATTCAATTGACCAAGTATAATTACACCTCGATGCCCGTGGTCTAGTAAAGCGAAACCCTTTACTGAACCTGTAAATTGGTCAGCCCAACGATGGATTCGGCGATTGACGAGACTGATTGAATAGAGCCGTCCTTGAGTATCATGATATTCACCTTCGATAGATCCTTCACCAGTAACTGTGAATAGGATAGAATCATCGTTGAACCATTTCAAATTCCGTTCAATTGCTTGATTATTTGTTAGTTGAACTGGACTAGATGATAGATGGTTGATCAAGTCAAACGAATAGATTTCGTAGTCATTTATCGATTCAATCTGTCGTGATCTTGATACAGTAGAGAAGACGAGAGTTTTTCCGTCTGGCGAGCATAACAATTCAGCTACTTGTAATGAAACGTTTGTAACAGCTTCGATTCGAATCTGTGCAAAATCTTCAAAATTAACACGAAAGATTGTATCACCGCGTTCTTTTTCTCGATATTCAATTGCATCGTTCCATTCGTTTTTGTATTCATTTTCTGATTCTTTACTCCATGAAGTTTGTGTAGCAAAATAGAGGCTAGTGTTCTTATTGGACCAAGTGAATGCATGAATAGGTTCTTTACCAAGTGCGAGAGAAAATATTTGTTGAGTTCGAGTTGAATAAAGTTGAATGAAATGCTGTTGCTCGTCGTCATTGACTTTCTTAGATTGATCTTCAAAAATGTATGCAATACAATCATCTTGCCAGAGAGGCCTCGATGAATCTGTCGTATGCCGAGTTATCAACTTTCTATTGGTACCATTCAGCGATTGAAGATGAAGATGGTATTCATAGATATTTTGATCCCATCTGGGATAGATTGTTTGAATAAGAATCCATGGATCATTTTTGGGGGCAAGCGTCAATGACAGAAATTCGGTGTTGTTAAAAAATTCATCCAATGTTATTTTAGGCGTTGACCACGAATTGCAACTATTGAGAAGAAAGATCAAAACAAAACTAAGATAGTTTATTATTGAATTCATTTTTATTGATCTAAAACGAAATTGAAACATGAATATAATTCGATCACTTCATATATTTATGATCTTGTGGGTAAGAAAATGTGCATACAATTAGAAAAATGCTCTTATAGGAACTTAGTGAATATTGGAGTCCTAAGTTTCAAAATAAACTAATGAATCAAATTTTGAAACATAAAATAGAGACCAGTACAACTAGTCACTGAGAACAAACCAATAGGAAATATTGGTAGACTTTGAAAGAAGAAGAAATGAAATGAAATGATAAAAATAGAGTAATATATTGATTAATCAGACTTTTCGAGGAAAGTGCGAGTGCAATACCTACTTGTATTTGTTAAGTTCTAACAGAAACATACATTTTTTCTATGAAAGGGTCGCAAGAAAACTCTCAATTACTTATTATTCGAATGGTAGATGAAAATAATCTACTGATAGTTGAACCTAATATCAGTTAAGGTCCGGGTATTTCAGTCCGATACATGAGCTCATTTTCTAGTAAAAAACAAGAATATCTCATTACTAATTGATTATAAGCATTCATTGATCGAATAATACAGATCTAAAGACAAGGACAGTAAACATCTAGTTATTTTCGAGAGGTCTATAAATATCATCATTTTTCCAATCGATCATTTATTGATGCTAAAATATCGAGAAACTCAAATAGTGTCTCTCATTAGCCCTGTCACCATAGAAAAAAAGAGTAGAGTCGATTTTTTTATCAGTCAATAATAGCTGTTGTAAAAAAAGTCAGCGTATCAAAGAACATTTATTGAATCAGCATAAATCCTTTTTGGCTTTTTGAAAATCGAAATAGATAAATATCAACGGCTAATCTTTTCAGTCGTAGCTGTATTTTAAGGTTATATTGATTAGGCCTGCAATAATAACATTTCTAGACTGCAGTCAATTGTCTTTTTTGTCGTTCTCAATGAATATTGAATCGATACTTATAGAAAGTCATCGAGCTACACAAGCAATATGCAATAGAATTGACATCATTTTCTTCAAAAACTGTCAATTTAAGATTGACTAGACCAAAATGAAGGAAATATCTTTGTTGTAAACAAGCTATCTTTTCAATACATGATAGTATATCTGCTCATTTCTATTCATGGTAATAAATCTGAGAATATAGAATCAATAGTTTGTCTGAAGATAATCAATATGTGGCATCTACAAAGAAAGATCAATTATGTTTTGGATCATTGTCGAAGAAAAACTCATCTAACATACACTATAAAAAAAATAGGTACTTTACGGAATTTCAAAAAAAAGGTTCGGTAGACAACAAAAAGCTTGCAAATGTGTTCAAAGTTTCAAAAAAAGAATAAAAAATTCACGGAACCTTTAAAGGATCCTACCATGTACCCAAGTGAAGATCCTTTTTTCTTCGAAACCTTTTTAAGTTCCGTACACCAAAAAATAGGTTTTGTAGGAACATACGAAACCTTTAAATTTTCGTATTAAACCTCGTGGTTTCGTACTGGACTTCCTGTAAAACTATTATATTTAATACGAAACTCTAAAGGTTTCGTATTTTCCTACAAAACCTATTTTTTGGTGTACGGAACTTAAAAAGGTTTCGAAGAAAAAAGGATTTTACCTTGGGTACACGGTAAGATCCTTTAAAGGTTCCGTGGATTTTTTTATTCTTTTTTTGAAATTTTGAACGCATTTGAAAGCTTTCTGTTATCTACCGAACCTTTTTTCGAGGTTCCGTAAAGTACCTGTTTTTTTGCAGTGTAGTGTTATTCAAGATGATTTACAGCACAAAATGTCAATTCTATACATCTACGAATATGTTAACAATCCAGCACTAGCGATAGAAAGAAAAACTATCTTTGAAAGAGGTAAAATCCCCAAATATATTTGGGATTTAACAACGGAAAACCGTATGACTCTCCTCGATTACATCTTATCTTATCCTCGTTGACCACTCTTGTCAAAGCCACTGCTGTTTCTCGATGTTGTCTTCCTAGTCTTTCAATCTCATTCTCAGTCAGTAGTCTTTATCCACGAAATTAAGTATGTTTCGAAACACAATTGCCTATTTACGTCGTCCATTCTCTTGCTCTTGTTACTGTCTTTTGATCTTCACATTTGTATTCTTTTCCCGATTTTCGACTCGTTCCTTCCATTCTGTTATTTCAAATTGTTTTTTTTCAGGCTACAGAAGTGAGTTCGCTCATAGCATTGGATATTGTTGACGGTATCCCTTAATAAAGAGCTCTAACTAAAAAAAAACATCACCGCCATATAAATATATTTAAACGTAATAAATAACACTGTAAAAAATCGGGCAAAATACAAAACGATGCGAGTTGATCGAGAGTTTCACTCTGAATCACAGAAAAGCAGAACACTAATCTTTATTTTTGTGCTATGAAGTGGTGTTAATCGACTTTGAATTTATTTGCGAAGATAAATGTCCAACATACACGATGTAATTAGTCTCAGGAGAAAAAACTAAGTCTCACAACAGCTAAGCATTTGACAAAACTATCAGAATATCGGAATATCAGGAGAAGCAATAAAAGATTATTGCTTTTACTAATTTTCTTTAGGGGAGCTAATTGCTTCCTCTCACATACATGACGCGCTTCCTATGCTCGATTATATTGCTTTTTTAGATTTAAAAATGTTTTTCAGGGTAGGGGTTTAAATTCCAAGGGCCCGCCCGCTTTGTAAAATGCTACTCTCATTGATCATCAACAATACCTGATAGCATTCACATTTCAATATGTCAGCGGGAATAATAGAATTCTTAATGACACATAATTATGTAGGAAGTGGCAACAATACTAGCTTTTATTTCGAAAAACGGTTTTATTATTCAATTCAGCAATTTACATCTTTTCGTCGAATAGTTCTATAGAATTTGAAAAGAAATGGTTTGTTTTTGCTGATAGATAAATGGCAGCAGAAACTATTTAATAGCAGCATAAAGCAGGTATATTTATTCAGAATATTCTCAGCAGCCTGATGACTATGTTGACTGTTCTGACAATTTTCATGTAAGTATTTCATGTTTAACAAATGAACGATATATAAAAATAATCTTACAAGTTTTTTTAGATGCTTGGTGGCTGTATCAGGTAAAAACGTTCATAAGTTATATCATCAACGTTATAATTAGTTATATTGTGAATCTTTAACAGGAGATATACCGGCTGGTTCTCAATGTCAACCTTCAACATGTGGTGCTCGAGCAGCACCTTGTTCAACTAACTCGGATTGTGAGTGCCTTGCACTTACTTCGAGCTCCAGTGGTGTATGTGCTGCATCATTGCTTCCATGCTCGAGTCTAACGCCGTGTGCAAGTGATAATGTGACCTGCACAGTGCCATGCACCGTATGTGCTTTCAGTACTCATTGTAACAAGCCCATGTGCTATCCATTGGCACTCACTGACCCTCAAGTCTGCCCACCACTCAACTCCAGTACGCCAACACCGAATCCCCAAACATCTACAGGTTAATTTTTATTGAAATATTTCTAGCACAATTTGTGCTCTACTCATCACGATGTGCACGTTTCAGCGTTTCTATTTAGCATATCTTGAGAAATTACGGAAAGGAAGCGGAGTATTTTGGAAAAACATGTCATGCAAACGGTAGCCTACCCTATTCCATCTACGGTCACTAATTTGAAGGGTTTTTCATGTGTACTGCGACGAGAGATTCTATCAAAACGGTTTGTAAGAGGCGAATAGTGTGAATTCAAAGCAGAATTCCTCTTTTACTCTCCTTAACTAGGTTAGATTCAGCCTGACCAATTGATCATGAGCATGAATTCTTTTCTTATTTTTTAGATAACTTTTAGGAGGTTCTCAAACTGTTTGAATGACTTATTTTTTTCTAAGCAAACGCAAAAGCACTCTTTTCCATCACCGACCAGTTTTCAATTTTTATAATTTCAAGCAAATGATAAAGCTGCTTGTTTCAGACTCAGAACGAGAAACTGAATCTAGAAAAATCATTAACTGGTCAGTGATAGAAAGAAAAAAGTAGATCATTCGAAAAGTCTGAGAATCCGTGAAAAAGCACTCCAAGAAATAGAAAACATTCGTGCTCTTGATCAGCTTGTCAAACTGAATCTAACGAACTTAAAGAAAGCAAAAAATGAATTTTGCTCTAACTGCGCATTTTTTACGCCTATTTCCTCGGAATGTATTTCAGTTTTTCTTGGAAAAAATCGGATGGTAAGATCTCTTTAAATAAAATAGTTAGGTAAAGCAAGCGAACATATTACAAACTGCAATTTCCACTGGGATGCTAGAAAAGCAAATTTTTGCATTCGGCCAGCAGCATAAACTGTGAAAAAGTTATGACACAGGTCTGAAGTTCGGTTGAGGACGAATATATGGCTGCGGATATATTTACAACTGTAAATACTTAAATCAGATAGGAATTAGCAAATACAAGCGCTCTTTTATCACTAGTGAGGTTCTCACCAGGAATCTACATCCACATTTAGAGGCTTTACTAAATCCTTTATAGTCCTGATACTAGGATTCATGCGCAATCTAACCATAATGGTAACCATTTCAATTGATTTTCAGTCTCTGATGCAGCTATTGATAAAACCTCACTTAGGAAAATGTCTTCTCAAACGTTACGCCTGACACAGTTCTCGTCACACAAACAACATCCTCAAAGTTTCTGTTCAATGAATTAACGCAAAAGGGAGAAAAGGCTTGGAAGTCGATCACCATAATTAGATTTCTCAACTGCTTTTGGGAGCCTTGTAATGATTTTAGACAAGGAAAAAAATTAGTTTTCAAACTTAGGCAACTTTAAGCTGGTTTCATATCGTAAAAAACGGAAGAGTACTCAATGGTCTCTGAAAAAGATGATTTGTATCCGAAAATCCATATAGCCTTTAGGGTTTTCAGTATTACCATAATAAAAAAATTCATTAAAGTTTTTGGATGGGCGAATGCCCATTATTTTCTTTAAAAGGCTTCTCTTTTGCAGTGAAGCTCTTTCAAGCTATCGCAGGCATTATAGAATTTCATTCAGTGACTTACCTTATAATGTAGATGTTCTTTATAAAGCCCATATCAACAGTGAAATATATTGGTTGAAAGTGAAATTTCAGTATATCCTAGGGTTTGTGAGCATAGTGTACGGGCCTAATAATGGATGTAAGTCTTCTAATTGAAATAGAACGAATAGCTAGTTCACAGGATAAAACGAACTCAAACGATTGCTACTCTGGTAGAATTGCGCCTGACAACGAAATAGTTCGATTGAGATCTACTGATTTTATTTCGTTTAGCGCCAGCTACAACGAGAAACACAACATCATCACCGGTTTCATCGAGTAAATCCCTTCTCTTTTTTGCTGTTTCAAACAATTCTGTGGTCTGAATATTGCTTTTTGCAGCATCTATCGGAATTATCAGTACGACAACCCGATCCACTGCTACAACTGAATGTAACACTCATTATTCATAACTTCCCTATCACTAAATATCCTCATCTTGCAGATTCTTCTTCAGCAACGACCTACATGTCCACTGGTGATACTCCTTGTTCTGATCTCTTTCGCGTTCTAACAATAATGTTGTTTTTTTGTTATAAAAGTTTCCGTGCCGCTGGTGACTCAGTGCCGTGCGGCAACATGTAGCAATTTTACTGCATGTTCGTCGAGCAATCCATTTTGTTATTGCTACTCCGTGGCCACGGGCGGCGGTATCTGTGGTGTATCTATGAGTTGCGCTGGATTGCTTTCATGCAATAATAGCACTCTAACGTGTAACGACTCTCAATCGGTCTGCATCGTAAATACTTGTTGTATACAACCGGTCTGTTTCCCATTGGTTTCTGCTAGTAACAGTGTATGCCCAACGGGATATCAAAATAGCACAGGTATGGAATGAAAATTGATCTTTATAATATTGCTGTCTCTTTTCTTAGTATCATCAACAGTCGTCACGTCCATTACAAGTAAGCTTAACAATATATACCTTTCGGATCGAGATAGTTTAAAAAAACCGCTTAGATAGAATATGAACTTGATCACGATTGACTGGCTAACGAATGAGTGTGAATGATGAGAACCGTCCAAGGTGGAAACAGCGATTTCTGATTTTGCGTGATTTTCTCTGATTTAGAATGATTTTCAAAAAAATAAAACTCTCCGGACATGAGTGAAAATCATTAGCAATCACAGAAAATGACAAATAGTGACTAAAAATCATTGAAGCTAATTGTAACTCTTTCAAAATCGATTGATTTATGATGATTTTTAACTGATTTAGCGATGATTTAAATCAGCTGTTTTCCCCTTGGAACCGTCACACAATCACCGCCAAGGACATATACGCCAAAGCACATTTAGTCGCCAACAGTTTTTTTTAGTACAACTCCTAACCACGGAGGCATTTAAATGGAATTCAGTTTTGCCTAATTGAAAAGAGACCCTTCTCCGTTTGTATAATGTTTCGGCTGGTTTTTCAGTTCACAAGGTTCAAAATCTGTCTGTAACGACGAGATGAAAGCTTTTTTTGAAGCAATAAAACGTTTTGTACAAAACTAATCCCAGGTTCTGTCTATTCTATTCTTCACTGTTTCTAGCATCAAGTTTCACACCTTCGACTG